CCCCCCAAAACCCCAAAACCCCATGCTTGAGATTTTGAAAATATATGATTAATAAAGAATAAAACTTATAATATCATTTTAACCAATCTCACTTCAAATTTCATTAATCTTTATGAAGGTTATTCAAAAATTTTCTTTTAAGGTCAAACTTTTTGACCAAATTTTGAATTGAATCTGCAATTACTGGAGCGTTGGTCATTTAATATCCACCAGACAAAATCATCACAATTGGCACCTTAAATCTCTCAACAGCCATTTGGAACATAAGCTCATCTCTTTATACAATTCCTTCAGGAGTGATGTTAAGTCTCCCAAGCGGATCATTCATCATACAATCAGTACCAGCATTGTATATAACAAGCTCAGGTCTAAATTATTCATACACTTCTGGAATTTATACTTCAAGATTGTTTAAATAGCTTGTATCATCATCATAGGATGTGACTGAAATTCGGGTCTTAATTGCTAACTCTGCTTATTAATCTCCTGGATATATATATGGATTGTAAGCATCGATAATGTGGACATTATGATCTTAAAGCATATCTCTTTCATGTCCATTGCCTTGATGTGCATCAAGGTCAATTATTAGAATTTTCCTTATGCCGTGGTGTTTTCTTGAAAAATGTACAATGAAAGTGATATCTGGATATATGCAAAAGCCACCTCCACCTGAGCAAGTGGCATGATGATAGCCACCAGCTAGATTGATTGCCCATCCATGTTTCATGGCAAGACAGCTGGCATCTACTGAGCCTTGAGTAGCTCTCATCATAGGATTTAATACTCTTAATCTAAGGAACCAAGCGGGGAGGAAAAATAGTGGGACTTCCAAACACTTGCAAATGTAAGCAGAGTAGTTTAACTTAAAGAGATATAAGGCACTCATTTTCTCTAGCAAAAATTTCCTACTTGGAATTTAAGGCTCATGAATTTTTGTTGAGGAGTCAATGATACCCATTTATCTCAATCCCTGATATACTCTATGATATTTACAAGAATCAAATGGATGAAGCTTTTCCAGACCAAAAGCAGTTATATTGTAGGCATCTGAGTAAACGATTGGGAAATGATCCCTCAGCTTAGTCAGACAATTATGCTTTTCAAGTTTGCCGAAAATGCATGCATACAAATTAATCAATATCTCATTCACTATTGGATGGGCAAAAAAATATCCAAGACTTGCAGCCCACATTATATGACCATACTTGGCTGTATTACAAGCACCATAAATCGTGAGAGCAAGAGATCCCAAGGAAGAGAAAATGTTAAGGAGAGTGTAAATCATTATTCTAAAAATTTAAATTAATATATTATATGTATTCTTTAGATTTATTGATCAATTATTTTAAAACTCTAAGAGTTGACGGTTGGGGTTTTGGGGTTTTGGGG